GAGATATGTGGTGCTTGAAATAATCCCTCTCATATTCACTGGATCCTAGGTGGTACTGGCATAAGCCTCCTTGCTTTTCCTTTGAAGATTATGATGTGTACAAACAGTACAATCACCTACTTTTTGCCTGGCAGGTGACAGTACCCGCGGCTGCTCTGAAGAAAGAATGTAAATGACAAGAAAACAGTGCATTGATTTTCATTTGTAAACACAGTGTTATTCTGAGAAAATTAAGTAGCAGTGTTAATTATTTAAGCTGTTGACAGCACACATTAAAAACCAAACTTAGAAAGGTGCGTTGGTTTCCAAGACACTGATACTTATTTTAGAATATATTTGTTTGCTTCTTTCCTTGGTCACCTCGTTGTGACTCCATTTTATTGCATTATGTGGACTGGTCTGAGTTTAGGGACGCAAGCAACATAGAGCTTTATGGTGGAACTTCAGCCAAAACCTTTTTTCTTTTTAGTATTGGATAGAGTGGGAAAGGTTTGGTACCTCCTCCATGTTCTGTTTGCTGTCTGTGTCCATGTGGGGAGATATACTTTCACTTATTGCTCCACAGACATAACAGGAAGTGAGCAGGAATTCGAATCACTCCCCACTCAACCAAATTTGGTTAGCATTCAATTGCATTCAAATATATATGGTAAAACTCTAGTACCGTTCAATATGCTTAATATAGCCAACCTCTGACAAATCTAGATGTAAAATATCCACTTCAGATACTGAGAAAACTATAATACAAGTGGTGTCACTAGAAGTAATTGTCTCTATGCATCCAATAAATGTACAGTATAATTCTAATCTCCAGTTTCATCTGATACGTGATGCTATTTTTTAGGATTAGTACAAGTAAAATTCCACTTTTAAGGGCCTATTTATAGTGAAGAGTGAATACCGCTATCTGTTCTCCGATATTCTACGCAGTAATACTCCACATCGCGGCCTGCAATCATGCAGTTCTTTCTTCATAACAACTGTGTGATTGGTGGAGAGGCCATCACATGCCTGTGAAAGGCAATGTGCTTTTTTTCCATGGGAGGACCAAACCGCTGCTTAATGAATGGACTGCTTAGTTTCAGTAAATACATGTCATATCTGTATAGTGCCACCTCTAGTGTAGATGAATATTTATTGTCAGCATACAAAAGAGCAGAAAAGATAACTCCACAAACCAAAAAATAATGTATTGTGGAATCATCCTTTTTTGTCTTATGCATAGCCAGGGTCTGATTTATCATTAGATACAGTAGGAGGCTTTTCCCTGCATGGTTATTGGCCACACATTCTTTTTTCCATTGTCAGTAGATACACAGTTTTTTCACCTGCACACATTGTCACAATATTGCAAGCCAGATGTGGACCAGTGACAAAGGAAAATGCATTGTGTAATAGTGGTAAACCTTCCATCCTTGAGCAGCAAAAGTTGTGTGCCCACTGCCTCCAGGGATGGAAATCCAGCACTAAGTGTGATTTCATGTTTTAGGAAGTACCAACAATATTGCTTTGATTAACAATTTAAAAGTATCTTGGTACATATTTATATCATGGTTATATTGTATGTTTGGCTGAATTTGGAGTTCCTCTATGAGGCTGCACAGTAATGTGAGCATATATCTTGCAAACAGGGCTGGCCTTAGGCCATTAGGCGCCCTTAGTAACCACACCCATTTTACCAATAAAGACTCCCATTTTAAGCCCCAAAGAAACATATTAAAAAGTATGATAAAAATAAAACTTTTATTCAAAGGTATTAAACTTGTAGGCACAATATTTAATATGTATTCATATTAAATAAAACAACAGAAGGTAAACAAGTGGTAAATAATAAATGTCAAACTAAAATAGAGTCTATAAAAATAAAGTGCCAGGATGTCACGCAGAACCCTTTTTTAAAGTAAGTGCATATAGAAAAGTAAAAATAAAAAACAGAACACAAAACCTAGACTACATGTTAAATCAATGAATTACTATATGCCCGAATATACGAAAAATTTATTCAGGCACATAATAATTTGTTTAAGAATGTGCAGCGGCTATGTTGGCCACCGGCGCGTTCTGTGAATGGGTGCCACCATCTTGGAGGCAGGGAGCATGACGTCACATGAAATTCATGAATGAACAGAAATACTCTTAGTTGGTTGAAAGAAATCGCAATAAGACAATATGACACAAAGAACAACTACCAATTATTTTTCCTTGAACAAAATGTTTTCAATGCAAAAATTATTGCATATTTCTGTATATTAATCAAAGTCTACAACTATCTCTAAAATACAACTAAATTATATTTTTAAGGAAAGTGGTTCCCAACAAATAGGGAATAAATTACACAATGCTATAAGGAATCCTTGCATATGAAAGAGAAATTGCAGGAAGTTGTCTTTAAAGCTGAAGTGTAGTGTACACATATAACAACTTCCCTTGTTTCCCCTCCTGATCAACATGCAATTAAAATGTTTTAAATCATTTTGTTTTTCAAGAGATACCTCTTTTCAGACCCAATGGTGTTATCACTGGGTCTGTCCGCTGCCCTGTAGATGTCCTGCTTTCTGCCTTTCTGCCTTGGACCTTTTTCAAAAGAATTATATAAAACAATTACTTTAGATGTGTCTGCTTCTCACTACTTGCCACCAAATGGAGCTGAAGATGTGCTCTTTCATATTAAGCTCTGAAACAAAATAATTGATGGCAGATAAAGCTAATAGCTGTGCGAAGAGGGCCAATAATGGCTAATGGATAAGAGGAAGACGTGATTGATGAATGATGGAGGTCTTTCTGACAGGAAATGAAGCCAGGCTTAAGATAGTTGCTGTAGCTTCAAAAGGTTATATTGTGATGATGCAGGTTGGCAGGGAGTTGAGAGTAATCAGTTTCAACAGAGAAGAGCACATGCTACAAGTCTGGGGAAAAAAAGGTAAGGCTGGAGTTCAGCTTTAAGTACTTAAAGATTTTGGTTTAGAGAGAGAGCCTTGAGTGAGGCAAGTTATGGAGCTCACTGGTTTACGAAATGGAGATTTGTGTTCAGTTTACTGTTACCAACTTGTGACCTTGGTCAAATGTTAAAAGCAAGAAAATTATTAACATTGAATGTTATAAATGCTTTTTTTTCAAAATGTATATTTGTATACTATTGAGCTACCAATACAAATGGATGCATACAATACTATACTATATTTTAGCAACAAAATTGTCTATTCAATATAAACAGGAGTGTTTCTTCCATAAAAGAATCGATACACATTTGCAAGAAATTCCGTAAGTCAATATGTGATAACAATCACAAAGATTTTCCATTAGTCACTGACTAACTTGATTGTTCCAGAATTTTTCTTTGAGAGGCATGCTAGATAAAGGACATTTTCATTTTTTTAATAAGAAAAAATATAAGAGATACTGAAAAGATAAGAGATACTGAAAAACTAAGAATACCAATACTTTTAATGCAGACTGTTTAGTCAACTTTATCCCTCAGCAAACCACTCCCAGAAGCAGGGATGCCTATCCATCCAAATTCAAAGCTCCTTATCAGTCTTTCAACCGTGCCCTCTAGTGGTGAGCAGCTTCCTCTGCAGAAGGAAGAGGGTGCAGCTTGTACGCACTGATCCTTGCATACAGGGTAAGTAGTGTAATGTGCTTATTTACTGTTGACTGGGTCAAAGCTAATTAAAAGAATCTGCACTATTATTACAGTTACCCTTTAATTTAATAACACTTTGCAAAGAGCAGACTTTAGCAGTTTAGTATAATCAGAATAATTAAACTTCCAGCAGTCCCATTATAATTAAGACTGGACCATTCTCTCAATGTTATTTATGTTTGTTGGCAGACTAAAGTCCATCCAATCAATGATAATTGTACTTATATAGCACCATTACATCTCAAGTTTTACTAACATGAGACACTTCAGTAGGAGTTTGAGACTCTGGTTCCCTGTACTGTTAAAGCCAAAAAACTAAAAAGACATGGACTAAAAGAGGAAAGAAGTGTCAGCACCAGCTGAGGCATTCGCATTGAAAAACCTTGTAAATGAATGCTTAGTCAGGGATGTATTTTCGAGAAAATGGGGTTCTTGGCAGAAAGCCAAGGTGATCGCTTCATGGATTAAAATAGTTTAGAGCTGCATATGTTACTAGACACTAGAACAAGAGTGTTACCTGATTTTAGGTGCTGCCATGTGATCTTACTGATTACTTATTACCATGCAACATGAGGCATGCTAGCGCGGTGATATGTTATCAGATAGATGCTGTTACCACAGCAGCAAATGTTATCAGAGCTATATATATTACCACAATACCATTTTTTCCCAGGGAGGTACATGTTAATATATGTTCATAAAATAAAGGTTTTCCCAGAGATGCACATATTAGTTACCTTGTAACGGCAGTGAGGTGAGTCACAAGAATGGGACATGTAATCAAACTAAGGTCATGTAAGAAGAAGTGCCACTGCTGCATGACAATGAGTCCTCCCATGTTCCCTTCTCCCCTCTTTCATCTCTAATGTGAGGTGAAGATAACCGAAATTCAGAGCCTTTAAAACATCTATCAGTGTGAAAACTTCATTTTAATCCCACAGAGTACAGCAGCTGCCCCTTTCCTCTGAAATCTATGATGGGGGGACCGTGGCTATCTGACTGGTCTGACTGCTAAGTGAAAACAGCTGACCAGAAGGCAGAGGTAAACACACATAACAGATTAGGTTCTAGAGAAAAGAAGTAGCAGTGTTTTCTCTGTGGGGATGAAAAAGATCCAACGCCTGTGCTCAGCTACTCTTAATCTGGCCATAAAAAGTATTGATGGTGGCAAACTGTCAGCTATCATTAAGTACTTGAAAGGTGAAAGGGTATCTAAGAGGAACAGGAAACCCCAAATCTATTGCTCAGCACCCCCTTCCTTCTCACATGCCTTCCTTGGGTTTAATTAGGGTCAGGTTGGTCAAACATCTTTAGCCATTAACTGGTTGCACTAATCAAAAGATTTAGATGATTGTACCTGAGGTTTCATCAACTCTTTCATCCACCACATGGTCTTTCTGATGAACCCACTCGCTGTTGCACTTAAAGTAGATTTGTGTGGCTGGACTAGCTTTGCAGTACAAGTTCACTGGTTTGTTTTTTACAATGTAGGCCTCTTCTGGCTCAATGAGAAAATGAGGCAATGGTTCTGGTGGATCTGAAGGAAAAGTTTCTGGGAGTTCATGAAAGAAATCATCATCTGTAATAGACAAACAAAGAATTAGTTAATTTTGAAGCCATTTTGAAAGCTTTTTTTTTTAGCAACACAAAATATTGTAGTGCATTAATAGTATTTTACACATTGTATAAAAAAAACATACTGTCCATATACTGTCCACAACACAAGCAACCATGCCTTGCTACACCTTAAACACAGCCTTCTTCTGAGTCTTTTCAAACCTTTTCAAGCTTACAACAATACTAGTTTAGCAATAGAACTGCTCACCATACCTGTTTGATGAGTTAGGCTCTTTAAACACTTTACATAGAATATTCAGTATCAAGCATTCTGGATGTGCATTACTGTATGGATATTTGCACATCACTGTGCACTGAGATTACCCATGATGCAGATGAGTTATAAATGCACAAACCTGCAGGTTACATGCATTTTTGTGCGTTTACCATTCACTTTGATAGGTCTAATAAATGCACAAATATGTATCATGTACAAATTGCTAAGCCATGGTGCATAGATGTGAAGTTGATACAGAGAAATTAATAGTATCTAACTGATATACTCAGTGCAATTCCATGCAATAAATTGCATGTTTTATTGTAAATGGACCTTCATTGTGTTGCATAACAGCAACCCCACTAGTACAGGGGTGTACAACTCTACCACTCGGGGGCCTGAATCTGCACAGATTTTTAGTATTTGTTTAACAGACAGCAATGAATGAAGTAAGGTATAGTTTAAATGAGTTACAAAATCACTCAAGGACTGATTTGGACACTCCTGCTAAATAATATTTAATACTAATAGCAACTTAAACTAACCAAACAAGAGACTCATTACAGGGAGACCAGCAGTAAAATACCTTGTCTATAGGCCATGTAGTGGCCAAAAACAATGTAACAGTAGTAATTCTGATACTGCATAAAACAGACAGCACAGCAAGCCAGCCTTGCATGGCCAAGCTTTGTGCCACTGATGAGCTTGTCTCAATTAGTGTTTTATATGGTCAGCATGAAGGTATTTCCTCATTTTGCCTTCTGGTGGCACTAAGAAGCAGAATACATAAAGTGTATCTAAACTCAAAAACATTAACATGTAATATACTGTATTTTGAAGCTTACTAAGCCTGAAATGTGTTGGCTGCATTTGTTTTCTTTTATTATGCTTTTTTCCCCAATTGTTTTCACCTGGTGATCCAGCCCTTAACTCACTTCCCGTCTTAGGGGGGCTCCACTCTATGAAGGACCATTGGAGCCACTCTTGGACAGCAGCAGAGAGGGTAGTGTTACATATACTCGACTTCACTAACAAATTACATCTGAAGTCCAGATAACACATTTTACCCATTGCAACAACAGTTTTTTTAAACGAAAACTAAACACTGTAAGCACCTAGTCAATGTAATTGGTTTACCTCAGTCCCCTATGTGCCACTGTTGTTGGACAGCTTGTGCTCTTAAAGGAAGTTGAGAAAATATCAGATCACCAGGCAAAAAAAATCTTAAAAATGGAAAACTAATGCAGCCACCACATCCAATGAATGGTAAGCTGCAATATGTTACATTTTTGCTTTTGGGTTTAGATACGCTTTAAGCTTGTATGCAGCACAATTATAGTCCTTTATGTATGTAATATCTAAAACTGCCTCTGTTCCTAAGTATCAGTAATGGATACAGTGGTAGTAAATCTTGCTTTAGTCCATCTTTTTATTCTGCACTCTCTTGTAAACTGTCAAATACAGTGAAAACCATACTACAAATAAAACGGTACAATCACACAGGCTTTAGAGTTAAAAGGTTTTGTAAATTATTGCAAATAATGCAATGCCTCTCTGGGGAGAAAGAGAATATATTGATAATAATTACATTTATAGATTTTCTTTTGTGACTTGGCTACGTTTACCACTTAGCAGGTAACACATTCTACTGTCTTAAATATTTAGCCGCCACTTCATAATTTTATTTACATTCATTTTGCACTGTTGTCTAGCTTGGTGCATCACTGCAACGCTGATTGTGCACATTATTAACAACTTCAGTTGAGGTATGAAATATGTAATAAAAATATATTATATTATTAATATATAAAATAAAATATATTCAAAATAAAAAGGTTTCCTATGGCTCTTACATTTCTAAATTCAAAATAAACAGGTTTCCTATGGCTCTTACATTTCTAACAGGACTGTGCCTTAAAGTTGTCATTCTCTTTGAGTGAAAGAAATGTACATTTATATTCATATCAATAACAAACTGGGGCATTATTTGTTTATTTTTTGCTTTCTTGTCTCACATCTTCTTGGTTGTGAGACAGCAGACGGCCAATGGTGCAGTTTATTGTAAGGCAGTGGCTTCCCATTGTTAGCCTGCAACAAGAAGTGCTGATGCTGGCAGGGTCCCCAGGTAAGAAACTTTGCAACAGTGTCCCAAAAATGAATTATTTTTGATGACTGTGCACATGATGCCAAAATGCTAAAAAATGTTCTTTGATTTTATGTATACATTAATAATACAAAAATACATTAAACTATTGCTAACATTGTAGAATAAGTATGTAAAGTGAACAAATGTGTTATTTAAGGAAGTAGCTACTTAAATATAAATTATACCTAGCAACAGCAGGTTAAATATATGCCAGACAACAGTGAGACTTTAATAGCAGATTTCTTCTTAGCTGAACACATTTACTATCACTATAATGAAGCAATATGTCTGCAATGAAGATTGTTGTTATATTGCTTTATTTTTGTTGCATATAAAGCTCTTTACCTACATAGCACATTAGGGTGCACTGCTGGTCTCCTTTCTTTAATTTGACTGCATTTTTAACACTGCAGCTGGGGACCATTAGTTAAAGCATTGCCATACATTTAATCATTTGCTTCATGGGTTGGAGAAAGTCAGAAATATGAATGCAGTGAAGTACAATGCATATTACCACACATGGTGCAGTGGACCCAGTTGTGATAACTCACAAAAAGCTGTCTTCACTTATTTTCATGGGTACCAATGATAGACAAACACATAAGAGAGAACACAGAGATGAAAATTAGGGATTTTTATTTATAAAAAAAAATATATATATATATAGAGTACTGACAATTTACGCAATACTTTATATAGTGCACATTTACATCAGTCCCTGCCCTTGAGGAGCTTACAATCTAAGGTCCTTATCTCACAGACATGACCAATTTAGACAGACGCTAATTCATCTACCACCATGTCTTTGGAGTGTGGAAGTAAACCCACAAAAGCACATGGAGAACATGCAAACTTCTTCTGTCTAGGATTTAAACCGGAGATCCCCAGTGCTGTAGGGCAGAAGTGCTAACATTAAGCCACTGTGCTGCCCTTTCAGCAAAAGTCATAAAATGACTTCCTCATACCACCTCATCCTAACCACTGAACAATCACTTTCTCAAACAATCATCCCCGCACAGCTACCTCATGTATCACTTGCCCCTCCCTTTTAGATTGTAAGCCCTCAGGGGTTGGGCCCTCCTTACCATCTTGTCTTGAGTTGTAGTGTGATTGTAATGTCTTCCTTATATTGTAAAGCGCTGTGCAAACAATTGGCGCTATATAAATCCTGTATAATAATAATACCACCCCGAACTTCCCTCTTTAGCCCTGTCATCCCTTGGACGGCCCACCCCTTTCATTATCAACTGCTCCTTCCATCCAACAGACACATGCCCATCTGCCATACCCTCCTGCCATTATATTCACATCTCACACCACCCTTGGTATTCTCCCTCAGCTTAGACAGCCTCCTCACAGCCAGTTCTTTCATTCAATATTGCTCCATCTGACAACCTCTACATAGTAACTCTACACCATCCTTGTTTTTATTCCCTTTAGATCTGTCAGCTCTCCCACAATTGATCGCTATTTCATCTGGCTAAAGGTGGCTCTGTGCCTTTCTTATCAGTGGTGGGACTAAAAGATTCAGCATGCCAAGCTCAGTTCATTTTGATATAAACAATTATCTCATACCTGTCACCAACACTATCTGGTGAGTCTTGATCCCTGCACTCTGTGCCTTATGCACTCCTGACCCCTGCATTTTGTGCATTATGCACTCCTATCCCCTGCACTCTGTGCATTATGAACTCCTGACCCATGCACCCTGTGCATTGTGCACACCTGACCCCTGCACTCTGAGCGTTAATCCCTCCTGACACCTTCATTCTGTGCATTATGCACTCAGTGCATTGTGCACTCTTGACCCCTGCACTCTGTGCATTATGCACTCCTGACCCTTGCATTCTGTGCATTATGCACTCCTGACCCCTGCACTGTGTGTTACGTTGGTGTGGTATGATACTGGCTGATTTTTGGAGAGTACAATTTATATAAATTGGCTGCAAAGGTGTATGCAAGTGAAAAAAAAATGCAGGGAACCATTGTATTAAGGACATCCTGGCATTGTGGCTAAATAATTCCCATCATTCAAGGGATGTGCACAAATTGTATTCTTATTTTATGGTACATGACATTTAAACATTGGGTTAAAACCTTAATCCATACAATCTGTACATCATTGCTACACATATATTCAGGTTCAATTTTTTTAATAATAATTCACGTCTTCCTATAGCACCGAATGAACCACAACATGTCTGCTCAAAATGAATTTTACTCCTTTTCCAAATACCAGTAAATAACTGCTAGTTTCAGCCTGTAAAATATAGTATCTATTACATTTGTTGGAAATATAAAGCAAATTCTTGCAAAATGGAATAGAGTGAGTGATGCTCCAACTTCGATTTAAAACGAATGTTTGCAAACTTAATTTTATATGCATCTTCTCAGGAAGATTGAGATACACTCTGGTTTACATAACTGTGAGTTACACACACACACACACACACACACACACACACACACACACTTTAATTTACATTAAGGATTAAGAAATGCCCAATCATTACCTGAAATGGATAGGCATTACATTAACTGCCATGCCTATGCAGAACAGGGGTATGAGGAAAGATCAGCTTTGTGCAAAGCATTATAC